TTAATTCTTGTGCACATGGCACAGAGACCCAACAGATATCCCCATTTTTGGACAAAACTGTCTCTTCCTCCACTTCTTCATCCTGGTCAGAATCTTCTTTGCTGTCAGAGTTTGCCTCAACATTGTCTTCTTCCTCTGAAAGTTCCTCCTCTTCATTAGTTTCAACAACGCCTAGAACATCATTGGTCAGTAACTCAACTACTATCGTCTTGCAGTCAATCATGCCATGATGTCTCCCACATGATAATTTAATAGCAGTATGTAAATAGACTCCTTTGTCTTTTGATCCATGTTTATATTATAAAAACATTTTACACTTTTGCCCTGTTTATTTGTGGAAGTGCAGGTGTAATTGTGACCAGCAAAGGCTGTATTAGAGCTAGGCGATATGGACCAAAAATCGTATCTCAATATTTTTAGCTGAACGGCGATAAACTATATATATCTCGATAATTTTTCCATAAAGTGATAACAAAAAGACAGTTCCAAGTCAGAGCCAAATGTCCCCGATGTCACACAGGAACTTTTACTAACAGACAGCGGTACGTGTACATGAAAAAAATGGCTCAAAAATAAACTACCGGCAAATATTAGTTTACCAACCAGCTCCTCTTCGTTAGCTTTCCTTGTGTATGTGTCAGTCTCCATTTTGCTGCTGCATGCAGGACTTATGAATGAGGGGGATGGGCAGGTTGCATTCGGAGAGGGGTGATGCAGGGGGCAGTTGTGTGAGAGTCAGACAGGGAGAAGAGAAACAGACGAATTGGCGATTTTCTAACATTTCACCCGACCCATCGAAACGTCCTACCTTTGGGTACCGCCCATCGATGTATCCTACCTTGCGTTGGAGTTACAGCTGAGTCTTGCGTGATTAGTCTTATTTGTGTTTTTCAACATTCATACATATAATGTTTTACTAAGTACATTGATCAAACCATCAGATGTATGTCGAATTACCAGACATGAATTCCGTAGGCTATATAATGTGTCAGTATTGCTCACATATTTATAACAGGACATCCTTATAAAGTATTTTAGTTTATTGAAATTGGCTACCCATGTATTTTGTGAAAGTAGGATGCTCTGATGATTAGTTCATGATTTTTATTTAATTAGTTACTTATTTGTTTTTTTTGGACCATCTGCTTTCAGTTTCAGCCCATAAAAATGACGGTAGCATTTTTTGGTAGGGTAGCACAGATCAATAATGTTGAAACGCGTTACGCTAGGTGACTAGGGCAACTCCACAAGGTAGGACAAATCGACAGAATATAGGCTGTACATGCATAATTTTAAAGCAACATAAACTATATTTATATAAACAACATTGTCTCATCCTATATCTTGTGTAAAAATATATCAATATATATCTTAAAAACTCAATATATTGCCCAGCCCTAGGCTGTATAATTATTGTAAAAGTGTACTGAACTAGAATATCATTGAGTTTCCACGGCAATAGGCAAATGTATTATGATAAATACAGCTTCAAAGCAGTCCAAGATCAAACTAAGTAAACACGTTGGCAAAACTGACTTCAAACACGAAGGTACAATAGTGTGTTGCAGGTGTTTAAAGTATGTTTTTTCTTTCTTTTTTTTTACTTATATTGTATAGTCTTGGATCATATCATATTTTAGATATGAAAAAATAAATTTAATGTGTTTGTTTCAGATTGTTCAGCTTCCCTAAATGCAGAGAAAATCCATCAAAATTAATGTGAAGTTGATTCCAAACAGTGGCACATAATGTCTTACAGCTTTATCAAAAAAAGGCTTTCTTTTTTTTTCTTCTTTGTATAAACTTGTTTCTCTTTAGGTCACATCATCACATTTTAATTTCAGGGTGTTTTTATGGATAAAAAACTTCCCAAAATGCAGTAAGAATCCATTGAAGTGATTGTGGGGTCAATATGACCCCACATAGTGGGGAAAACCTGCAAAGTCTGTAGCAGCAGTCTTCCCATAGTTCCCAAAGTTACTAAATTTCAACTGAAAGAGATCATTTAGATATTTTTTCTCAAGTTTAAACAGGCTGTGGGGTCAAAATGCAACATTTAACTTCAATATGAATATCTCAGAGTAAAAAAACAGACAATTTAGCAATGATCCAGGGAGAGTCTGGGTTTGTTTGATATCTGGAATATTGGAATGTATTCCAGTAATGGTTCTTTAAGCATAATAGAAAACCATGGTACAATGAACAATTAAATTCACATTTTGTTATTTAACTACCAATATTCACTTTAACAACAAATGAATATCTATTTCTAATCATATGCAATACTCAAATCAATACTCTGACTAAGATCTGGCCATCAGTATACACAGTTTACACATTTTATTTATATAGCCTTTTTTTATTCATAGTAAGTTATATTCACACTCATATTTAATATACATTGCTCATTTTGAGCTTTTGCTTCTTCCTTCTCTCACCTTCACATTTTATTTACCATTAAGGCCTGGCTGCTTTTCAAATTGCTGGTCATCAATTTTTTTTAAGCATGTTGTATAATTAGGGCTGAGGTACTTAAAGGTGCAATGTAACTGGTGTACAACACAACCTATTGTGCTATTTTCTGCCTCTAAATATGGCAATAAAATGAGGTGAGCCTATGTAGGGGGATGTGGTGAGGACATTGTGTAATACTTCAATATTTCATGAAATAGCCAGAAAAGGGGAAAAAAGAGTGAGCCACAGCTGGCAAGAAGAGTATGCATATTTATAAATGTGGCAAGTCAAGATAAACCTTTACTATTCTCAGACTTGGCTTAAAATGCAAATTTAAACCTTTCCATATACTGCAGCTTTTGATTTGCTTTGACTCTTAACATACCAGACAGAAGTCCTTTAAAAGTATAATTGTGAATTAATAGAATAGTTTAAAAAGTGTTACATCCATGTATTCTATAATGGGTTACAAGCTGTGTGCTGTGCAGCCTTTGACAGCAAAGAAATTTGACAGCCTCCTGTCTCCCGTGCTGTCAGACACAAACACACTAGCAGTCTGAACATCTGGGGCCAATCCGATGGCATGTAGAACTGGCCATTAATCTGTCATATGGAAATCTCTCCAATGTCAACAACTTTTTTTCCCCAATCTATCAAGGTCTCTGTGACAGCAGGTGCAACACAGTAAACATACTGTGGTCGTTACATTATTTACAAAGAAGGTTGCATTATTTACCTTTGGTATACTTGTGTTTTAATTTTCCATTTTTTATATTTAAAATGTTAAATAGGACCGTGGCATTTTTATTTTTAGACAAATTACCAAAATAGAAAAAGATTCTTTTCTGTTATACCACCTGTGTTACTTTCATGATTATTAGGGTTAGTGCTGTTGTTTATTACAGTGACCTAGTCCTTTTTTAAATAAAAGGAGAGAAGAAATGACAAGATTGAACAAAGTTGAACTGATAGCTTTATTGTAAGTGTGCTGTCAGAAAATATCATTTGGTCGACACCTTTTAGATTATATTCCAATATCCGAATGACTCTGGGCTGTTACAATGTGTCAATAACTTTTACTTTCTAAAGATTTATATGGTTAACTATTAATAGAGACAATTCAGGATAAGTACTATGATAATGGATGCAGAAGCAAGTGTTCTGGTATTGAGCTTGCAATTTTCATCCATCCATTGATTCATCTTCCTCCACCGCCTATCCAATATTTGCAGACCGTACAAATAACATTTAATTATAATTGTATTATTATTAGGAGTGGCAGTAGCAGTATAAATCTTGTCTTAACTCATCTTAAAGTAATTGCTCACAATAAGTGCAGAGTATTGTCACTTGTGAGGTATATTAGTTGTTGATGGCTATTGTTTTTATTCTCTTCTTTCACCACACAACATACAGTAAGGTATCAGTGATGAGATATATCGCCTAGCAATAAACTGCAAATGAAAAATAACATATTGGCTGGGGATGGTGTGATAGGTAGTACTAATATCTCACTCCTCCAGGGCTGAAGGTCTGAACCCACCTCTCTGTATATGCCGAGTCTGCCTGTCTGCCCCATATTGCACATTTTTTTCAGGGCACTCCTGTTTCCTCAGGTGAGTTACCCAATGTGTGTGTGTTGCCTTGGCTTGCACCCTGTGCTGCCTGGGATAGGCTCCAGGTCTCCCCCCAGGACCATGTACTGGATAAGCTACCCCTGATTACTTCCTGTATGTACATGCCAAGATGATTACCTTTATTTTTTCCTTTATGCAATACAGGCTGCTCTGCAGTCTAGGAGCAGAACAAACTGGTTACCATATAATGTTAGCAACCTTGCAGCAGGAGCAATGTTAGCATGCAAGGCAGGATACAAATTGTTGTTACTTTCCTAAATACTCCAAAGCCTGAAACATCATTGTCAGAATAGGTATAATTATGCACTAAAATATTACGTGCAGAAGCACAATAAATGTAACATCCATTCATTCCCCAAATACATATCTGGTACAGCCCCCCCCCCCCCCACCCATCCCAAGTTTGCATCCTCTCCCCATGTTCATGGGGGTTTCTGCCAAGCACTTGCTTTCCTCCTACGTAGAATAAGAAATGATTTAGCTGTATTCACCCATGTCTGAAGAGCGAGAACCTGGACAGCTCACACTTTTACTTGAGGTACTTAGCTAGCACAGTCCACCATAGCTTAGGAGACAGTCATTTGTCTTGATACATCTCCATAATTAATCCATAAGTATCACTGGATCCTTGAAACTGATCTGAGTACAGACAGTCATAATGATGAGAAGGTGGCTGGTATGTTGCAGGTATTATATTATTAGGTATTATATTTCTGTTTCCCAACAGTCTACAGCACTTGATAGCATAATTATTATTCACTATGATCAAGTTTTACTGTATCCCTGAATTAAATTAGGATTTTAAAACAGAATGGAATTGATCGATGAACTGATGGAATCATGGATGGATGGATAGATGGATGGACAAACAGCAGACCATTCTTTTTTAGTCAGGATTGATAAGATATGTTTGCCATACATTAGTTTAATTCACTGTAACAATAAAATGTCATGAACAACCAGTTGATGAGAATGATACAGAGCCTGGAACAATTTGAGATGAAAAGATCAGAATGATTTAGTGACTTTTCTGGCATAAGAGAACTGAGACCAGGAGGGCTTTTTATTAAATACATAAACTGTAATCAACCCTAAAGACCGCTGCTGAGTAACCAGTGTTTGTAATACTTTATCAACCTTTTTTTATTCCTTGTATTTATCACTGCTTGCTGCATTAAAGTGCCAAGCCCTGATTTACTATGTGCATTTTCAGCACGTTTACTCGCCATTATGGTCAATATGTAAATATACCCATGATTCCAAGGGAGTATGCTACTATTAATACTTCTGCTTGCCCCCCCAGTACAATTGTCTTTAGCATTTCAATCTCTGCTAGGGTGTACAGGCCTTACACAGACTAACGAACACCATATTCTTAATTATGTCTGAAAGAAACAACATGAAGATCTCTTTTATCTGCTATGTTCACCACACTTGGCACGTCTTCGGCCTTGAATCCCATGCTGAGAGATCTTACAGAAGAGCATCAAGCTTCAAATTGGCCCAGCTCCTAGTATACCCAGGCCTGTCCTTCTCTGTGTCCTCTCTGTGATGGGGGTGCTGCATTCTGATCTCACTCTTTGGTAAAACAGTCGCGTTACATGGCTGTGTCACAGTCTGTCTTGTTCAGTTGCACAACCTCCCTCCTGCAGTTCATAATCTCTTCAGAACTATTTGGAATTCATTATCTCAAGGTTCATTAAATGGTTCAGCTGTAGCGGCTTTACAGTTGCCCTCAGATAACAAAAAATAACAGAAACTTCTTCCAAACCACTTAAGGTATAGTTTAAGAAGCCAGAGTTTTACTGTTAATAGCACTACTACTAATAATACAATTACAGTAAATTTCCAAGGCATGATTATACAACTATTACAGGTACGACTTCTTGATTTTTTTGACAAAATGTTTCATTTGGGTATTTTCCAGCATCATGTGCTTAAACTTCTTAGGCAAAAATGGTTCAGGAAGATCCATGTAAACTATATAAATAAACTGAATACTAAAATCAACAGCACTAATGAAAATGTAAATCACCCATTTTAAGTGCAACATGATCTAAACATAACAGCTATGATAGTTTATGAAAAGGTAAGAAAAAATAATACAACAAACAAATAAGGTAACACAACTAAAATTCCACATTACATTGGAGAAACATGATGACTATATCGTTCAATCTAAAGTACTGATCTTTTATATCATGTATACATTTATATCTTTCATAGAAGAAAACTGCCATACAGGGATGCATTTTGCATTATTTTTTAATTGTGCAAAACGTAAAACATTGGAATAATTACTTTTCATCCCTTTCAATAAGAACATCCATAGGTTATATTGTTAGTTTTAATTTTGTGCTTTAATCCATCCATCCACCCACCTTTCCAGCAGTTATTCTGGCCAGCGCTGCAGTATGCTTGTACAGTATTGATAACATTTGCTGCGTTACAGAAGCTTTCAGTGCATCGAGTTTCGTTAGAGAGATGTGCAGGGTTCACTGCCAATCATGTGCAGGGTTCACTGCCAATCATGTGCAGGGTTCACTGCCAATCATGTGTTTAGATAACATTTTCAGGACATTAAGCATGTTATTTTCAAAAATCCTTTTCGGAGAGCTGCTTTTCTTGCTCAGGGTACTTCCCATGAAATTGAGGATAAATGCAACATATTAATGTATTTTATTTCTGTTTGGTACAAGAACTAATTGCAGGCAGCTCAAAATGTCTTTGGATGGACTTTAGCATCTCCTTGGGAGGAAAAGCCTCAAGCTTGGTTCTAACCTTTCTCATCAATCTGCAGAGCATCATCTTCTTTCTCTCTCTCTCTCTCTCTCTCTCTCTCTCTCCCTCTCTCTCTCTCTCTCTCTCTCTGGCTCTCTTTCACCCCAAGGACTAGAGATGTTCTGTTATAGGGCTATAGCGGGGGGCGGAGATGCACTGCAGCACTGTTTGGGCGGGCGGCCAAAATGTAGATGGCGCTCTCCATCAAGAACTCCTGCCAGTTCATTTGCCTGTAGGAACAGATGAAGAGATGCACGATCATGAGTATTTCCTGCTGAATAAATGACATGACTGGTAATGCGTGGACAGTCTGATGCGTGGTATGAAATTAAAAGGGTTTTTAAATGGTTTCAAACATCAAAACATCTGTAGTGTTGGTTGGATGTTTTTCTTTTTATGTTATCCAGCCTATGGGCTTGAGTGTGTCATACAGGTATCTATAGCTAAATGATCAGGAGTGAGATCAACATGACCACAACCTTCTGTCATCCTTCCCAGATGAAATTGGGCTCTTCTCGCGACTTTTGTTGCTTCCGGAACTTGCAGGGCTGCTCTCTGATATCGGCCCAACATGGCTGATGCTTAAAAAAAGAGGAACACTTCAGATCCACGCACATGTCTTTCACACACTAGTCATTGTCTTGCTGACAGTATCCTGCAAATTAAATATTTCAAACACGTTAACATGCTGAAGAAGAAGGAGTCATTGTAGTTTGTCTATATCATTGCCACAGTTAAATCAGCACAAAGTATCACCAAAACCTATTTATTGTTTTATTCAGTAGTACTGCATTCTCCACAGGGAGGGAGATCAATAAGTTAGAATAAATGAATATAAATACAGAATAAATATAAACCTATGAAGTTTATATATATATATATATATATATATATATATATATATATATATAATTGAATATAATTGATGTATATAAATATATACATTATATACTGTATATGTAGTATACTGTAGAACTCAATCCTTAAACCTACTACTAAAATAAGATGATATATGTCAATAAAACAGCAATGTACTGTTTCATTGACATATGCATAGAAATTTGCCTTTGTATCCAAAAAAAACCAGTGGGGGTTGTAGGGCACAAGACAGATTAAAGTAACAAAGACAGAGACATTCACAGAGAACCACCCTATCAGGCAGGCTGTAAGGAATGGGACACGGAGGGAATGCTGTGGTAAACAATGAAGCACTTTCAGGTGCATTACTGCTTGCTAACTTGAGTCAGAGAAATGCATCCCCTAGTACTATATTTCTGCCCTGTGGGAAGGACAGGCACACGCGTAGCTTAAGCCAGCATTTAGATGTGTGATCTGTGCTGCATGCATCATAACCAGGGTGATCATCTGCTTTGACATCCCTGCTGTTGCTCATGCTGTTATTTTTTCCAAGCAGTTTTAACATCGTTATAGCCTTACATTAAAAATAATAGATAATAATTTTAATTCTAAAACTGAGTCAAATACCCACATTCAATATCGGTTTCGAAATTTTGTTTGAGAGTCATTAATCTTATCATTGTAGGTTGCAAAGCCTTTTCCTTAGCTATGATCTGAGTTTACACCATTTGTTTGAAATTGTATAGGAACGCAAGGAACATTTAGAATATAAATGAATATACACACACATGCAATTCCCTTTTGTAAATTCAGACTTACCTTAGATTTGTTATTGTGGAACACAGTCCCATGAGTCTGTTAGGGAAGAGTACACACTGTATGTGTGGCACCTCTATTGGTCACTTAGCCATTTATATGTAAAACATTCCGTGGCATTTATACTACTGTATCACTCATTAAACCATGCAAAACCCACCTGTGCGTTCTACCTGCTATGAAGCCAAGCTCTACATTATTAACATTGTCAGTCCACTTTAGCTGCTACTTCTCATCTCTCACCATGGTAATTTCTATTGTGTTGCAGTTTGTAATATACCACTTACCCTCTTACAAATGATTCACTATACATGGAAATTTAATATTAAATTTCTGCGTGGGTGATGATCTTATCTTCTCTGCCATGAAAAAATAATGTGTAACGTCTGTATTTCTTGTATAGGTTCTTCTTGTAACACCTACGGGGGGGTGGGGGGGGGGGGGGGGGGGGGTTAGCTGTCCATGCTTTAGGGGGTGCAGGCGGCATTAGCTTCTGGGCTATTATTGATCCTGTTTTACTGTTGATTTTTTTCCCAACCCAGTATAACTTGAACTTTGCATCAGGCTCTGATTATGTGAACTGCAGCTTTGCTTCATGCAGACTGCAGCTTTGCATCAGGCTCTGATTATGCAGACTGCAACTTTCCATCATGCTGATTATATAGACTGCAGCTGTGCATCAGGCTCTGATTATGTAGACTGCAGCTTTGCATCAGGCTCTGATTATGTAGTCTGTAGCTGTGCACCAGGCTCTGATTATGTAGACTGCAGCTGTGCATCAGGCTCTGATTATGCAGACTATAACTATATATATATATTTAGTTAAGTTTACAATATGGCCTGCTGCTGTTGCTATTGCATTCATATACTGCAAATACTGTACTCAGTGTAATCACACTCATCCTGCAGTACTAAGAGCTGCTATCGTTTTAATTAATGAGAATTAAATATAGGGATAGTTCATTTGTTTCAGATTGTTTATTCCTATTTTGGTTAAATATCAAAGAGACTAATATCATGGAGAATTCTTGCAGAAACATTAATATCATGCCTATATTACATGCATGTTTTATATCCCTAATTCTTGTCTTTGTGACATATTCAGACATGTTTCTGTTAGGAAAACAACATCCCCTTGTTTTAATGCACCAGGTTCTACCTCCGTCTGTCTCCATCTTTCTATTTTTATTGTCATTTCATCTTTCCAAACGTGCTCCCTAAATGTGATCTTTTACAGTTCAGGTGATTTCTAGCAATTAACCAGAAATAACACCTGCTTCATGAACATCTTTAAGTTTCAACAAATTCAAAGATTATTTACTGTTTGAATATATTAAAAACAAAACTTTTATTGACAGTTTAAAAGCTATTTAACATCTACAATTATTGTGGCTTTGGTTTGTTTTAATAGTAAGTAGGGCAAAATTTCCAAGCAATATTCTGAGCAGCAAGTACATATACAAGAAAATCTCCTATCATTTCTTTTCAAATTGTTCTGTGTTATTACAGTATTCTCACTGATTTCTAAAATATAGAACTGTAGATATAAAACTGTAGCACTGAAGACAGATTTTTTAAAAATAAAGATACAGCCGCTTTCAAGCAGTGCATTAAAACAGAAAAATGCATTACATGGATTTTGATCAAAACCAAATAAGTAGCAACTAATATTGTAATAACTTACATCTACAGATAAATTTCATTAAACTTAGTACAGTATTCTGTAGAGTGTTTCTATACTAGTCACATTAAAATTAAAGCTGAAAAGTTTTTGACAGCATACACTACTTGTACACATTCATTATGGACCATTCACAGCGTGCAACAGAAATCAGACGGATTATTTAGATAGAGGGCAGGTGATTTTGGGTAAACTGCTAAATTTAGTAACTGCACTATTAACGGAAATGTGCACATTTATAAAAATACTTCTACCTGCTACAGGTCTTTCCCTAGTTTTATTTTTTTAAATAATTCATTAATGAACTAGCTAACTTGCAAGGTATGTTTTAACATTTATTCTATTGTATACCCATGAGGGCAATAAGGACTATATTCCCAGGTAGGAATATTATTTTATTCTTCATTAAAATAGAGTAACAATATCCACTAACACAGCACTTATTTTTTGTCTCACTGGGTCATTGTCAATACATCTGATGTTTTGCCCTGCAGAAGAGCAGAGCAGGATTTATGTTCCATAAGCTGTACTGTACCTGACATTGCAGGACTGCGCTTCTTTGGTATGTTTCTGGAACCACGACTGTTGGGATCTCCACACCTCCCCACTAAGGACAAGACCTTCACTGTCTTGATCTAAACTCAAGTACACTGAGCGTGCCCGGTCCCTTTCTTTTGCGGTCAGCAGTCGTACAAGAGAATTCTGGGGAAGAAATGGATATTAATGAATTACATAAAACATGGGGAAATTTGTTTATTCTTAATGCAAATGAATCGATCCACTGACTGGAACCCTTGGAACATAGCATGATAAGAAATGACCAGGGCAAAGTGAAACCATTGTGAGATTTTATATTGTAATTGGGTAATTTGTGCCTCAGAATTGCCTGTAGTCTGTGTGTGTGTGTGTTTGTACTCTGCAATGGATGGAATACTTTCTAGGGTATCCTCTTGCCTTGCTGGTGAATATGCTGCCTAAGATAGGATTCATGCCACTCCATCACCCTGACCGGGATATGCAGTTAGAAGATGGCTGCAACTTCTCAAACAGTAACATATTCAAAGAAACAGGGATTCAGTAATGTGTCCAGCAGATGTGTAACATAATGCAATGAGTCTTTAGTACCTTAGAGCGGAACTTATTGAGCACTCCCAGAGATTCATGGTACAGGAAGTCAGTCCACTCAATCTGTCCCTTCTGTTCAGGGTCCAGAGCAGAGAACTGGGCCAGAACCTCCTCTTCCTGGTCATCAGCCAGGTCTCGTTCAGAGAGCTGCTTGGACACAAAGTGCTTGTACTGGAGGAATTCGTCAGACACCAAGCAGGATTCTGCAGGGCAGGTCAGATAAAGACTATAATTATCAAATCCATTGTAAATGTGATGAATAATAAAATACTCAAGGCAATCATCTCTTCTGCAACGTTTTGAATTCTATGCTACAACAATAATGATGCATCATGTTACGCAATCTTGTGAATGAAGTTTATTATTTATAATTATTTATCTCACACATTGAGTACCCTGTACTTAAAAATATGTTGAGACTTTGGAACACTGGATATATTGTGAATGTATGTGCAGGAATGCACGTGTTTTAATGGGAGGGAGGGAGGGAGAGATGGATGGCTGACAGGTGCTGACTGTGTACATATTTACAATAAGCTGACAGGTGTGCTAACCTGGAATGATCTTGCACTGCTTGAAGGTCTCTGTGAGACTATACATCTCTTCCTCAGTAAGAAGTAGGTTTACATTGTCCTGCAGGGTCACAAATCAATAAGCAACACTGTGATATTTCCAAAAGAAGAAGATACAGCAGCATTTCCAAAGCAGTTAGCGGACTCCAAACAATTAACTGACATGTATGTTCGATTTTGGAAGCCATGAATTGAATTTAATCAGAAAATAACATTCAATATGTGTTTATCCTTTATTCTTAAGCATTACAAATAAAACAGACATTACAATATGCCACACCCATGCCTTTTTCCCCTGTGTTCTCCGTGGTGTGGTGCTGACGAGCCACACCTGTTCCTCGTTTAACTCTGCCTCTCGTTTCAGCCCTCGTGTGGATGATCCCAGGTGCCTCTCGTCTGCTCCCTTATAGTGCCTCCTCGTCCTGAGCTTCCCAGTCCGGTCATTGTATTGTTATGTGTATTATGTTACTGACTGATTGTGCCCCTCTGTTTGCCCTGCGCCCTGTGCATCCTCCTAGCTCTCCCTGCCCAGTTTTGACCCCACATGGTCCATTTCTTTTCGCCTTATCAGCTGTGCTTTACATTAATAAAGCCACTTTGTCTTTCCCCGATGCCTGCCTTTGCCTCTATGGTTCCCACACCGTGACACAATATATATTACAAACTTTTTATATTAATATTATATCATTGGACAATATAATTCTTCATATGTAAAGAACTGTGCCTTTAATTAGAAATTAGTTCCCTTGTGGTTCCTTACAGTACACCAAACGGCTTTCATATTTTTGTGTTTCAGAATGTTGTAGAATCGGTACTGGATTTCACTGTCATGAAAGTCATCTGAAAACCCATTACTGAAAATGTTATTAGGACAGATAAATGAATCCATCAGAAATGGAAATATATCCTGTAGAGAAGTGGATTTCTACCGACCATAAGTAGGTGGTCTGTGCAGATTAAGAAGGTAATTATACTGTAAGAAATTCCTATTGCTTGGGCACACTGTGCTTCCCATGGATAAACAAAAAGTTGTTATGCACTTGCGGTAAGACGTGTAAAGCTTTTAGGCTCCAGAAGTGTTTTTCTCAACTTCCTAAAGCAAAACAATTTGCACTTTGCTACCTAGTTATTTTGTCATCGGTTGTGTGTAAATAATACACTATGCTTATTTAATTACTTTTGTGGGGGAGATTCACATCTGTGGCTTTTAATATGAATTTTCTGTTTAATATTAATGAACTTTGTTACCGCAATAGACCTACTGCATTGTACACTTGTGTTTCTTAACCTGGTCGTCAGGGATTGCCAGCTGCTCCACGTTTTTGTTCCCCCAGAAAGTCCACATTGTTGCTCACTCTCAGCTGTGAGCCTGGGGGTCCCTAAATATTCGGCTGAGAAACACCATGAACTCACTACTACTACTATGGTAGCACTGTTGCCTCACCATCCAGGACTGGAGGTTTGAATCACACCTCTGCTCTGTTTGTGTGCAGTTTCTCCCAGTGTAACATGGGCTTTCTCCAGGTACTGTGGTTTCCTCCCACAGTCCGAAGCAGTTAGGCTAATTGGTGTCTCTTTAGTGTGTGCGTGAATGTGCCTCCCCATGAACTGGCATCCTGCCCAGGGTGTACCCCAGCCTCGTACCCTATGCTGCCTGGGATAGGCTCCAGGCCGCTTGTGGCTCTTATTAGTATAGCTGGCTAGAAGATGGATGGATGGATTCTGTGTTTGTGAAACAGTGCGATTTCTCCTTGCATTGTTAATAAACTTGATGCAATGCTACATGAAAAAATCAAATAGATAATCCTTCAACATAGGTTAAATATTGTGATTTCTTCAGTCTGGAAATATGAGTCTTAGATGTTGACCTAGTGTCTCTGAATGAGGGTATGTTACATAACCTTCCCTTTAGAATGGGGTTGAGTACAATTGTCAGGGTCAGCACCTGTTTTGTCCCAGTCTTGCTCCTTCTCCCCGTTTGGCCAGCAGGTGCCGCTGGCCATCCTGTCTTCCCCAGTTATCCCAGTCTGTAGTGTTTCCCCTGCCCCCTGTCAGCTGCATGGCTCAATAAGCTGAGCGTGTGGCTACCTGTTAATCCCTCTGTTGTGTGTTTGAATCCCGCCTCCTCTGTTTTTGCATTTTGTTCCCTAGTGTTTCATTTCTGAGTTTTTCTAGTTCCTGTGTCTTGTGATTTGTACTTGGTTTTGGTTTCATGCTTTGTGCCCATGCTTGTGTTACTACCTGCTTGTTATTCCCCTAGTGTAGATTCTGTTTCCTTGTTTCTGTCAGTGTCTTAGTTTTCCCCTCCCAGTCCCTGAGTTAATTAGTTCCATGTGTTGCCTGCCCTTGTGTGTTTTCCTGATTGCTCGTTGTCCTGCACCCTCCCGATTGGTTAATTGTCTATGTCTCACACCTGCTGTCTCGTTACCCAGTTCAGTTTTTGTATTTAAGTTCCTGCCTGAGTTCAGCTCCCCAGTGGGTTGTTGTTTGATGTTAGTTAGTTGGTTTGTTGTGTTATTTGTAGCCTGCCTGCCCGCCCTGACCCATTTGTAATTAGTGTTTGTTTTTCGCGTGTCTTCAGTTTTGTTTAATAAACCCCTATATTCCTGTGAGCCGCAAGTGGGTCGTCCACTTTCTGTTCCTCGCCTGCATGATGCCACGCCCTCATGCCAAACCCGCCCGGATCTTTGACAACAATAATATACTAACGAACATTTGGCCATACTCGCAGGATGTAGTGCCATTCAAATGTTACGACGGCAAGGGACTTTTGATGTGCCTCTAAATGCCACGAGTTTCTCTTAGCATAGACACTTTTCCCAAACTGACCCTCTTCGCATTTTGAAATCCTTTTGAACAATCTGTATCCACACTGTCACAGTCCATCTGACAGACGGGTATGATGCAGATAATACATGCATCACAAATAATTTATACATACAATGTATAACAGCTACTAATCAGTCCTCATTGAAATGAAATTTTAGTAAATTGCTATTGAAAAAATCGTATAGATGTAATGTAACTTTGCTGGCCTAGACTAGGGGTATGATATTGCAAAGACTCACGCAATAATAGCAGCTCCAGCCTGCGGAGGTGTGGGCAGTGTCCCTCATCTGCTGTAGGCTGTCCTTGCGAAGATAGCCCATCTCCTGCAGGCAGCCGTCATGGAACACTCGCGTGCAAATCCGGCAGGGGAACAGGTCATCCGCCGTCCACACCTCGCAGATTTCGCACATCTCCTCATTGACCGGCTACAGGAAGAGCCGTTACGGTTATGGTGTGAATTCTGCGCAGGTTTTTTTACTTACAAGAAGGCTTTCCATCTTTCACGCAGGACTTTCCTGTAATTATTAACATTGGTGTGAAAATATATGGCACTTACAACTACTGCAGCTAACAGTAAACCATGGTCATCTTATAGAATGAAGCCAGCTATCCATATTCAGCATCTGCTAATTCAGTTATGATTGGTCCCATGAAAAACCTAATCTGGTAGTTATTGGGCTTAAAGCAGGGAATGCCCAAGATGGAATGCAAGTTTATTATTATTATAATTATAAGGTTTGTTATTTTAAATGGATAAATACTGACCTACATAATGACCTACTGACATACAGCGAGTAAACATGAAATGAAAGGAATCTGTCTGAAAACAAAAAACAGGTGAACGAACATCACACTTATATGAGATGGAAACCTTGGAAATAAATTCTGAACTTTCATTTAAACTTCTAATCATTTAAATTTTCAGCTTGTACTCAGTGTTTAACTGTATATTGCATTTTCTCTTCTCTCAGTTTTTAATGTTAGCTTAGTAATGTTCAGCATTGTCCTCTAAAACAGTATCAAGTGCTTTGAATTTCTTAAAAAATATAAAAAATTGGGGAGGATTTTATGCAGTGAAACTCTTTCCCTGCTGAACCATGCCGGTTTAATGATGCAGTGTAAAAAGCAAATGTTTACCTACTAAGGCAAATATCTACTTCTTTATGTTCCTTTTGAAGTGTGAGAGATAAAGGCTGACACTTCTTGGAGAGCAATGGCTGTCTATTAACCACAGTCTCATTATGGGATGTATGAGGCATGTGCTTTTAAAGAATGATGCTGTTGCTGGAATGAGCAGTCCGATTGTAAGCGGGTGCTGTATGCAATTACAATGTTTTACCATTGGGAGATAATGGCAATTGTCTGTAGGTGTGGGGAAATAATGAACAGATCTAAAAAACACAATTTTTCTGCTTGTGTAGACCTTTAGCCCATATTTGCTCTTTTTATACAAACCCAAGATGACTCTATAGTAAATCATTTGAGAATCATGCCAACATGTAAGAATAAATTTGTGCTCAGAATATATGTTATCAATAGCGAGTGTAGCAAAAATGTAAATAATGCAAACTGACGAGCATAAATCTTATGCCAAGATTTTCTGCAGCACATTTGACAGTTCTAAATCTGTTGTGCCGTAAATGGCTAATCATAAAGAACATGAAAAAGGTAGCAAATTTTCTCCAACAATTTAAATAATGGACAGAGACTGGAATCTGAAAGTATTATCTCAGTACAGCAAAACATGCAGAGCTAAAATCAATAAAGTGCACTCCTGAATTAAGTGCACTTTTGGGTAGAGTTCTGGAGTGCCATTTAAGCATCTGGAGCGACAGACAAATATGTTTCATTCATAGTGAAAGCACAGCAAGTCTAACTTTTAAGTAATGCACCTATACCAGTTTTCTTCAGCAGATACCCAGATACAGGAATGCCAAAGCCATTACACTGTCAGTTATCTAAGTTATGCCCAGTAGAAAACTGTCTCATTGGAAAATACAGCTCTGGAAAAAAACTAAGAGACCACAGCAAATTTTTCAGTTTCACTCATTTTTCAATTTATGGGTATGCTCCTGTGTAAAATAAACATATTTTTGGAAACTCTAGCCTGGCTTTTCTCTGCTTCTCAATGATGAAGGGCTTCATCCCCGGTCTTCTAGGAGCCTTATGAACTGTCCTAGCAGTGCACTTCACGCCAATTAATGTTTCCCATTTTTTTGAAGGTCACTTGAAGTCACGCTCTGATTTATGAGGCACTGCCAGATAAGTTGATAAGGTCATCTCTGGCATTAGAAAGTTGCTACTGCCCTCTACCTGGCTGGTTTTTGGGCGCACCCAGTGTCTCCTGCTTCACCTTGTTCTTGTTTACTGTGGTCTTAGATATTTTGAGCCTGGAAGCAGCCTACCGTGTAATGTAGTCTTCTGACAGCATAACCAGGATTAAACCAGGATATAAAAATGCAGATTTTTGTAAAATAGAGGGGTCTCTTAATTTTTTTCCAGAGTTGTATATGTTGAGTAGAGTATATTTTGAAAATTTTCAATTTACTATTAATTTAGCAAATTAGTCAGGTTCAATGTCATCATGGCATTACCAAACCAAATAAAAATGGTAGAAATAATATTAACACTTAATAATTAATATGGTAGAAATAATATTAACACTTATTAATTAGCACTTTTATTATCATAAAAAAACACTTATTTCTGCCTATTTTCTCAGTAATTTGCCCACCTGCTCTCTTTGATCCAGTACAATTTCCACAGGTTCATCATCATTAGCTTCTCTCTTGGGACGAACGAATGCCGGAGGAGTGAGTTGATGAGCCGCCTTGTTCAGATCTTCAGGCTCCACCCCCTTTCCGTCACGCAGCCGGGACCACGCCTCCTGATTCACTTTACAGTCGCCTTCCTTCTCCAGGGAGGCGGAGCCCTTCTTGCCCTGTTCCGGCGGTTGCCCCTCCTCCCGCCCCTTCCCTGAGGATTCGGGTTCAGCAGAGCAGTCAGTGAGATTCTCCTCGGGTTCTGCAGTGTTCTGGGCCCCGTGAGCTGGAGGAGGGCGCTCCTTCAAACCCTCTTTGAAAGCAGAAACCACAGCGCTGCACTTCTGCACCTTATCCACCTGCTGCTTTTTCGACATCAGGACACCCATGTCTGAAACAAGGAAGAGATGGAGCGGCTCACATTGAGAATACATCTACCATCATCATTTACAATACATCTACCATCATTCATCATTCAGCTCAACAGACAACAGGCTTGGGAGAACAAGCACACTCATTTATCTTCATGCATCTCCATCATGAATCCAAATAACTCTGTTTTTTTAGGACAGCAAAGAGACTGCAATACTAACTTTAATTCATCTATTTTCCAGCTGCTTACTCAGTACAAGGTCATAGGGAGACATGGAGACGATCCCAGAAAGTATAGTTCACCCAGGGACACCCTGCACAGGATGCGAATCCATCACAGGAAACAGCCACCCAGAAAGTGCAATTTAAAGACGACTGTCCGCCTAATTGCATGTCTTTGGACCGCAGGAGGTTTTGGACCAACACCGCGCAGGAAGGGACCGGAAAGCCCAGCAAACCAGCCTCAGCGTCGTCAGGCAACAATGTCAGTCTCTGAGCCTCCCCTCCCAAACTTTGAAATGGATCAAAAATATATCCTTATACTAGAACTTGCAAAGACTTGAAATGACACCATAAATGAATAAGGCTGGCAGATGCTGGACTGGCAGCCAGACAATGCCAGATGAAGTGCAGAGACAGCCGTCGGTAGAGGTGGGGTCTGTGAAGGACATTATATTATTGTTATATTTAATCATTTTTAATAACCCAGTGTTGCCTTAGGCTGATCTGTTGGGATATTATCAAAATATATACCCTTCCTGATTAAAATAGCCCAAATCTATTTTTTTTTAAAGATATGACAACTGAAAACTGGAACCCAAATAAAGACAAAGGTACACAATGTTTTCTCTTTATACTTAACTGCATATGATCTGCAACTTCCAGATTTCAATATGTTTTAAAGTGCTGTGTTAGTCAAATAATCATTGAGTTTTGAATTAGATTATATTTAACCATTATTTAGTCAATATATACGATTCTTTCCACAAATTAGCATTTTAATTGCATTCAAAATTCAACACAACTTCATACGGAAAACTTATACGAAGAGTTTGTTTAGATCTTAATGGCCACTCCTCCAGTCAGGCACACAGTCACTCAAAGTCTGTTCTGTAAAGAAGACAATGTAAGCATCAGTACAAGGAACTGAACAGGGTACTTCCCAGTCATAAGCTACTATCTGACGATGCAAGTCTTAATCACTCATAACGCAAAATACATATTGTATCTTCCTTTAAAGATCAGCTCTTACTGTACAAACCTGGCATGATTAAGTGTACTGTGAAGCTCACAGATTTGACCCTGAGGAGCTAAAGAAGCACAGTGTGCAATATAGTGCCAGCGGTCTTAAATGTGTAACATTCTTAAAGTGACGTCACAGTAATGTGTAGTCATTCTATTTAAGCACTGTGCTGTGAATCCCTCCTAATGCAACACTATGAAGTTCATCGGACAGTTTACTCACAGCCACTAAGTATCACAGAGAAAAGGAAACATTCTGAATTACATTCCAGTGAGTGGGCTTAAAGTCAGTGGCACCTTACCTTGCCTAAACGCCACTGGATCTCGCCTTCAAATTTTCCAATAAGCTTTACTCAAGAAACTAAGAAGCACAGATTGACCAGATGACCACTGCTTGCTATCTCTTGAGTGCTACCTTTCCCCAATGTGTTTTCAAGGAGAATTACATTCCTGCTTTGAAGAAAGTTCTTACATAGTATGTATCCAGAGCGGAGTGCAGCAGACCTGAGGAAGGACTTTGAATCAAAGCCTATTTTTAAATCTTATTAAAGATTTGCTTCAGTGATAAGGGATGCATACTATGACAGCTGTGAGATAAACTACAGTAAACAGCCTGTAAACATGTCTCATTCACTGACTGCACTTGTGCCACTGCAATGCTGCACATTGCATATTTACAAATTATGTAACCATTCTGTCCCGGAGCCATAATTTTTATCTGAGCCATTAGAATTTGCCATAATGCATTTCTGTGCAGTCTGAGATGAGCAATTAGGGACACGGTCTCCTCTCATCTATCCTAGTCATGTCATTGCATTAGGTTTCCCAAAGGGCAGCGATTTGGCAGGTTGTCAGAGTTTCCTTAATTATAGCCTATACTCCGAAGTGCCTCATGTACAAAAAAAAAATACTCAAGAAATGGAAATGATTGTCTTCTGTGTATGACTCATCCGACCCTGTAAACATCTCCAGTTCTGGGTGACTTCAGAATGACATTCAGAATGACAACAATGTATGTACTGAAGGAAAGGCACATGCTGAGCTCACTCATATTAAGTGACAGTATTTGCAGATCCATCAGAACAATGCAGTAATGACTACTTTGAAGCTAAAGCTCGTTTAATTTGCTTTACATTTCTGCAATATCTAATCTACTTAAAATCCGGAATCAAAGTCAACAGGGTTGATCTGACATATTCTTCTCAACTAAGGAAGTGAAATTCATGTAATGAATATAAAATCATAATTTTCCCTCCACTTCTCCAGACATGTTCATTCTATACATCATTTGGTAAAAGTATTCAAATTCTGATTCCATGTTCATAGTGTCACGCCCAGCTCCGTACGATCCTCGTGTGTGCCACGCCCCCTCATTACCTCGTGTCAATTCCTGGTTGTGATCACCTGTGTCCTGTTATTTCTGGCTAGTCTTGTGTATTTAGTCCGCGTCTGAGTTCGTCTCGTCAGATCTGTCATTGTAGTGTCCGTGGATGTCTCTACCTGTCTGTCCGTTGACCCATTAAACCCCTGATTGCCCGTAAGTTTGGCTTGCTCTCATGCTTCCATGCTCGCCTTCTTACCCGATCGTGACACATAGACTATAGCTCATTCAGGGGATCGCTAGAAGTTGCCAAGTTAGCCAGGAGAAATAATCCCTCCAGTTTGCCTTCGGTCTGTCCTGGGGCCTCTGCCTAGTGGGATATACCCAGAACTCATATTGCTCTCATACAGGGACCAAACAGCACACAGTACTGGTCCTGATATCCCATATTCCTGCAGCGTCTCCCATTGTATGCCCTGGTGCTTACAGTCAAATGCCTTCTCCAAGCCTCCAAAGCACAGGTGAACCGTGTTCGCATATTCCCACACACCCTCAGACAGCAGAGTGAGGGAGAAGACTAGGTCCGCTGGTCCAGGGCCACACCAAAATAACATTGTTCCTCCCGAAACCACAACAGGGTGGAGTCTCCTCTCTAATAGCTAGACACAGGCTTTCCCAGGGAAGTCGAATCCCTCTGGTCTTCCGCTTTATAAATTGGAACCACCAGCCCCATTTTCAGTAGAGCAGTACTTTACCCGCATTCCATGCTACATTGAAGACATGCGTCAACCACATCAAGAGGTCTGATTCCAGAGCCCACACTGTGCGTGGAAGTGAGGCTGACTGTATCTGCCTGATACCCTCCTATATCTTGAACTTGCTCTGGCTACTTCCCTGCCAGAGAGGCGACTTTTCTCATTTTCAAAGCCAGTGTCCATTGCAAAGGTCTAATCCATCTAGGCCATTCCTGCTCAAGCCTTCCGTCCAAATAACACAATGCATCTGCCCCCCCCCCCCAAACCTCCACATAGCCATTTCAGGCTATGCAAGTGAAGTACGGTACTTATGTCATCACGTATTAGTGGCAGAAGGTCCTTAGCTTTGATCTAGGTTCTTTTGTAGGTCCTTGGTTTATTAAAAAAAGCCCCTGCTTTAAAGAGAAGGAATTGATAAAAGCCTTCTTCATGTTAATAGCATTGTCTGTAATTATGTAGGTGACTTTCCTTTCTATTTTGTATTCTTCTGCAATTCCCCCCAAAACTGCTCCAGTTATAGTCCCTGTGTTTGCCCTGGATCCTTTAACAGGGAATCAGATGGAAGCACAGTTGCATTTTTTGTCTCTTTGGGTCAGTCTGCATAATGTAAGCTGATATACCTATGAAAGATTTCATCACTCTAGATGTCTGTTATTACACAAGCACTCTTGGAGCATTTGATGACATTACGCACTTCTCTTTATCAGCTCAATTGATCTTGTACTGAGGGTGGATGGACGGGAAATAATTTATCTCAGAAGCTTAAGTGTGGGATGTTGATCAGTGATTTTCACTGTCGCCACCACCAGAATAAGCCCTCATAATTAAATTCATTAATGTAAGATCTTTAAAGTTTGTTCACATGGAAGATTCTACATTGTATGTTAAAAATGTTAACTGATAAAATTTGTAAATTTTTTTTCCTGCATATTGTTGGTTAAAAGTGCCAATCTTTTGGGCATTCTATGTCAACAGCATACAATTAATATTGCTGACCCACAATGTGCTTTTCAGGATGATCTCGAGAGAAGAAATGGATGTAGTTTGTTGTTTTTCATCTATCTTCTTTCTGCAGGTATTGCAGATTGCTGATGTCTTAGAATTCTGGATATTAGCATCAATTAATATACGTTTAATTACATTAGGTGTGGACATCTTGTTAGCTCTTAATATCGGCATACTGTATTTGTTAGCCCTGAGAACCTGCACACAACAAAGTACTTGCTGACTAAAGCCAATTCTGAATCTGATTACAGTGTAGCTAATAACCTACAGCTGCATGAATGATGGGATACCATAAGCTTGATTGGCTAATTTGAAAACAATACATAATTTTAAGTGTTTTTTTTCCTCATTACTACATATTTCATAATAGGCTTAGAACGGTATACTGTTTATTACAAATAAGTGCATGTCTGAGTCATATTAGTGAGTCTGAATCCAAGTCCAGGCTGCATATCTATAAAATTCAAGTCCAAGTCTCAGAAAGTGCGACGCAAGTTAGACTAAACACAGGTTACCAGGCCCAGAACTGGATAAACAGCATGGAAGACTGTTAGATGAACATTCAAGTTAGAAGTTTGATAATGATTAGAAATGTTTAGAAACCTTGTAAAAATATTCAAATGGGTTTTTTTCTTGGATAAGCAATGATAAGTCAGAACATTTAGGATTACAAAATACTTAATCTAATATGCATGCCAAAAATAGACTTCTTAAGAACTGTAGAGTCAAGGGACTCAATGTATGGTTAAACCTTTTCAACTGATGCAAATTTTGCATGAAATATGAAACACAATGATGAAAGCAGTACAAAAATTTCAAGGGGTGATTGTGACAGACAGGACATGCAAACACTTTAAAAAACTTGCCACAATTTACATAAGCAAAGCTGGCATTTAAAGACAGCAACACTACAGCAACTTATTCAAGGATGAGTGTATTGTGGAAAAAACTAACTGGCACAATAATAAAATCAATGGCTATAATGATTTTTATTTTATGTAAGCTTCTGAAGTCAAATCATAATACTATACGTTTTTATAAGAATCTGTCTGTAGTGGTCTACTGCTTATATTCTTTGAATCTAATGTTACATTAAACGAAAGTTGATATATTTTCCAATGTATTTATATTTATATAAGTATTAAGAATAATAAATAAATAGAGAGTTCGTGAAAGTTGGGGGTGGTACCAACCCAATACTGCAGAGTTGCGTGGGCAGCATCTTGAATCACTTAAGAAATGATTATTCCTATTCGGGGGTAGTCCGTTTAAATCCCAAGTCTTCTTTTCCCATGTGCTTCCCATGTGCTTTACAGTACTGTAAACTGTTTAGCTCAAGCTTGGTATTTAGGTAGGTTGCTAATCCTTAAAGGTAAACTCAATATCTCGTGCAAGTGACATGCAGTGAAGTGCAGTAGTCCTTGCAGTGTTACAGCAGCATAACACAGTTCAGAATAGTGCAGCAATTCAGTAAATCTAAACAAACAAACAAACACATAAGTAAATGAAAATGTAAAGGAGCAGTCAAATAAACGGAATAAGAGTTAAATAAATTAAATAGATAAAAATATAAACTGGAGCAATCAGTTAATAAAGTGGGTGCAAAAATGGAGAAGATATAAAATAAAAAGCTATAAACTTACACACATACATGAAAAGGAAATCAGCAGAAATAAGTACAGTGAAGCCATAATGAAGATAAACAAAAGAGGAAAGAAAATTATTTTCTCACACATTAAACTCTTGGAATAACCTTAACTGTTGTCCTGACTGCTTCTCCCTCATTACAGCTGAATGTGGATCTGAGTGACTGCATAAAATATACATTTTCATATTAACGTCAAGAACATAATACAAGATACCATTCATTAAATGTACTTGATTTATTTAGTTTTGTTTAATTTTTGATTGGTCTCAGATTCTTCAATCATTCATGGCAAGCTAACCACTGCATAATCTGATATTTCACTGTAAGAAAATGTCTAGACACTGCACATCCAGTTAGGGAAATCTAAGTATATATGCATGACTCCTCTGTGTTATTTAACAGAATACGTGGGAAAGGAGGCTGTAGTGGGTGTAATGGGGATACATCATTATTGAGGAGCCCAGCATACTGAATCTGTGGGAGAGCCACTGGATGGTGCAGGATCTGAGTGTCAGGCTGTTGGTCATCCAGGGCCAGGAAGAACCAAGTGTCCAACTGCATGTCCAACTGCAAATTTTCATTAATTGCTAATCCGGAAAAATATCCTCACAAGGTAAAAAGTGTTCATCATGTTGTGAGGTAATCTGGTCCCCACAATGTAATAATTAGAAAACACACATGCACACATCTCTGTGGGGACTGTCCATTTTAGGTTTTTGATTGAATTCACCGATTTTTATAAAAGCCAGTTCTCCTTTGTGGGGACTGAACAAAATGGTCCCCCTAACGTCAAGATAACAGGTTTTGGTCCCCACAATGTAATATATACATGACCGCCACACACACTCCATATGTACACACATGTACTCAAAAAGCCAATTTACAACCACTGGTATAACCTAAACAACAGGGTCTGTGTGGCTGTTTGTGTCACATGCATGTGAATGGAAGGAAGTGCAGCACCCAGCCAAGGAAGGAAACTGCACAACAAGGGCAGTGATAGAAAACTGCAGAGCGGAGGACATATTCAAATTCAAACCAAATCTGTGAGGCAATGACTCTGCTGAGTATCTAACTCTGCTGAGTACCCATATATAGTCTGGAAATACAGTATAAATAGGTTATAAAACAGATGGAATTGGAGAAGCTGGCTTATAATACAGTTCGAAGTCCAGACCGCTAACAGTAGGTTCTCTGGGTGAAGGTCTTGGTGACACCATTCTGAGCAGACCAGACCTATGTTTCTAAGACCTCAGACTGTAGCTCATTCTAGGCAATCCCCAGGAGTTCCAACAGGAGATACGGTCCTTCCAGTGTATCCTGGCTCTGCCCTTGGGTCTCCACCCAATGGGATGTACCCAGAACAGCTCTCTTCAGAAGCACCCAGAGAGTGACCCTGCAAACCTAGTGGAGGAACCTCATTTCAAATGCTTGCTCTCACGACCATATTGATTCGGTCATTACCCACAGCTTATGGCTATATCTGAAGACGTATAGATTGACCGATAAGATGTAAGCCTTGTCCAATGACTTAGCTCCTATTTCACCAATATGACCTGTCCTGTACTGCAAAATTGTAGCCCTCAAGCCAATTCATCTGTCACATTCCATCTTACTCTCACTGCTATATGGCAGTGTTCCCCAACCTGGTTCTTGGGGACCTAAAAGGAGCTGGGAGGGAGCAAAAACATGGACTGACTGGCAGTGAGCTGGAAGGGAGCAAAAACATGGACTGACTGGCAGTGAGCTGGAAGGGAGCAAAAACATGGACTGTCTGGGGATCCCCAAGAAATGGGTGGGGAAAAACTGGTGTACAAGATCCCATGATAGTTAAAATCCTTCACTAAAGCAGACTCTCCCCCCTAACCTGAAATCAGAAATCCACTATTTTCTTACAGAGTAAAATGGCCTCACATTTGGAGCTAATGATTCTCATATTTGCTGCTTCCCAGTAGGTATATTATGTCTGAAGAGAGTGCGGAAGGTCCCAGTCAAATGAGGCCAAAAGAACAACATTATCTCTAAAGAGCAGGTATATTACCTCTAGCCCCTCTTACTTGACACCTTGCAGTGTGACATCCTGACAACGCCATCCTTCATATACGCTTCAATTATTTTTTTTACTTGAAATATGCACATTCGACTCTTTAACAAAATTAGATCACTTTTTCTTATTCTTGTTCTCTTGTGTTCACATCATATGGAGAACATGATCATCAGAACAAAAGGCATTTAAATTGGTTTATTTCCAAAACTGATCAGCCAGAAGTTTACATCAACTGATGTATGTCACAACATAACCAAATTTCACTGTCACCCTCTAAACAGAACTGACCAGTTAAGCACCTCCTTACATTAGTCATAACGCATCTTCAAAACCAGCTCACAGGCTTAATTCTGTGTAAACCTGTGACCTCAACAAAGGTACTGAAAAGTGACCATCTAAATGTCATTAAAACTGAGTGGAGAAAATATGATTTTTTAAATCTAAAGAATTTTAAACATCAGACGTAGATAATTTTACATTTGAGCTTTCATTAAGGATTAGCGACTGCACGTTTAAACCCAAACGATTAATTCAAAGTATGGGAAAAGGCAGTGTGTGTAGGATGATTTGATACTGCATTTTCAGTATCGAATCTCTCAGACAGACAATTAAATAGTATTGACACAGGGCAAATACGTTTTCTCATTTCATAGCCTAATACAATAAAACAACATTCACAGCGCAAAAATATATCCAATGACTGACAGTTATGTCATACATGCCCACCGATGACAATATCTGCAGTTGCAAAAATGCAATGCTCATGCTGAAAATCAGACTTTAAATCATCACTCAGTGCACGTAATATTAAACACATCGTACAGTACCTGTAAATAGTTCACGCCGTACTACTTGACTTGTGGTTTCTTCTCTCCTTCTTACAGACGTCTCCACAGCATTTCAAGGTTTCAGTCGCCTTGTAAGTATAATCATATGTTTTTTCCGTGGCAGCCCAAAAGGAAAAAATATATAAAAATAGAATAAATTAAAAACTGCAATGAAAATGTGAGTAATGATGCCGTCGTTTTGCTGGGTTGAGGTATGGACAGCTCCCGTGCTGATACTGCACCCAGCCTACGATGTCTATCAATATACCGCCCAGCAAGCATAAAAAGACACAAAATACATGCACGTATAGAAATGACGGGAATGTGCAATATGTTTATATTTAGAGGTACGATTGTGATCGATGCTAACAGCCTTGCAAATTAATCGGGGAGCTCAGAGGTCTTCGGCAAGTTGTAGTCAATGTAGAACACGAGTGTTCTTCGCTGGATCCGGACTACGCCAGAAGAAAGTGACGTCGCTCCAGGCACACACCAATAACAATGCAGCTCTCCAGAGCATAATTCCACATTTTACATATTTATGGTGTTGAAAGTACATATGATCGATATTTAAAGTCCTTAATCTAATTGCATGTTGCTATGTTAAGTGTTTTAATGCTGCATTTAGTTTTTTTTTTTTTTTCGATGGTTCTGTTTTACGCAAAATGTGCCCGAATGAATGAATACGCATAACCAAATAGGCAGTATTCAGACCGGGGGAGGTCTGCAGTTTTCACACGATCCTCCCTTTGTGTGTAAAAAACAAATAACTTCACGCATAATTCTATGTCATATTGTCTGTCAGTGTTTTTAAGCATTACACTTTAAGAACATCACTTTAGTACATTTCTTTATATTTTTCACCTTAAAAGTATTATTCTGTGATTACTGAAGATGCTATTGATGAACATGAACATCACCTACATATCTTTCGGTTAACAGTGCACAAGAAAATCTGGAATTATAGTATGCTATAAGCATGAGTCTGTTGATATTGTAGTGACCCAACCACTATAGGGCTATAGTGTTCTGGTGGTAAGAGGCATTCTGGGAGGTGAACTGTTGATGCTGTTCAGTTGCTTGTGTTCAACACTTATTTTCCTACTGTGTTGTGTTTTTCCACTTTTTAGTGTTTGTGGCAATGGTAACAGCTATTTTGTGGAGGTGGGATTTGCACACACTGCTGCTGGGGGGGGGGGCAGGAGGGGCTGATGAGTTTCCATTGGGTGACTGAATTGGACAGCGCATTACTAATGAATTTTCATTTATTGTGTTATAGCATATTCGCTTGTCAGTGCCATTTTCTTACTGGACATTGCAGTATTTCAGCAGAGGATTGTACAGGGTTGCTGAAACTCAGGGTTATTCCAAGGGCCTCTGACTGACAGGGGCTCTAAAAAATTACAAAGTTATTGGATTGGTCTGATTTGGGGGCACAGTCTCTATTGGCACCCCTGGGACTGTGCATGCGAACAGTCAGTGATACAGTAGATGACGGTGCATGCTGATGATGAATGATACAGCAGGGGACTGTGTATGCTGATGATGAATGATACAGCAGGGGACTGTGTATGCTGATGATGAATGATACAGCAGGGGACTGTGCATGCTGACGGTAAGTGATACAGCAGAGGACTGCGTATGCTGGCAGTCAATGATACAGCAGAGGACTGTGCATGCTGATGGAATGTTATAGCAGAGGACTGTGCCTGCTGATGGTGAGTGATACAGCAGAGGACTGTGCATGCTGATGGTGAGTGATACAGCAGAGGACTGTGCATGCTGATGGTGAGTGATACAGCAGAGGACTGTGCATGCTGATGGTGAGTGATACAGCACATGCATATCAGTTGCCAGATTTCCTGTAGGTGTGAATGTGGGTGTGTGACTTGTAATGGGTTGATGCCCCATCCTGAATTATTCGTTGGCTTGCACCAATAACTTCCAGGATAGGATTTGGACCCCTGAGACACTGCATAGGACACGTGGGTGTGGAAAATGGTTGGATGGACAGATGGGCTCCTATGAGTATATTCAATTATTGCAGCGAAATGCAGTAAAATTATACTAGTTAAAATACTACAGCCCCCAACATTTGATTATTTTTAAGACTGAAAAAATGATGTCATCTGTTTCAAACAACTTTGGCAATAACTTGACTGGGAGAGACTCAGAGAGCTCAGACCTAAAAAAAGTTTTTTTGTTTTTTTTCCTGGGGTCTCACTGAAACATAAAGGTTTGTCAGCTGTCAGGAAATATTGATATCATTCTTGTACCAGAAGAAAAAAGGTTTTAAGAGAAAGGGAAATAAAAATATATTAAATTTTTCGGTTTTAGCTGTGATTGTGTTTTTGCATTTGTACGCATATGTTTGTGTATCTTATCTTAATCTAAAATTTGACTTAATATTTTTTTCTTAACAGTTCTACATATACAAGAAATCTTGTTGTCTTCTCTTTCTTCCACAGAATTACCTATCAAAACTCCCCATCCGAACTTACTGTACAACAGTTTGTACAACCAAACATGGATTGTGTGCTTCCTTTGGAGAGTAAGGTGTTAACTTTTATGGATGTATAGGCATTTTGTGCACGAATGTGGGAACTATTATTCAAAGCCACCCTGATGAGACCTGCCTACTCAGACCAACCAGCCAGCATTAAGAGACTGAGAACAATTAATTAAATCGCATTCCTGGGTTTCCCTCTGCAGCCGGCCTCTTAAGTGCTTCAGACATCTTTTCACCTTGGCTATGAAGTGGATTAGTGCTCAGTGAGGAAACAGCTGTCAGCTGTTTGAAGAGGAGAGGAGATCCTGTAAGACACAATCCGGAAACTTACTCTTTGTTTGCCAATATACTCCTAAATACCACATCCCAGCCAGTGCAGCGTTAAATCTTTGAAAGCAAAAATTCAAAAAATTGAGTGAAATTTTATCGATTCTCGTTTTTTTCTTATATACTGTAGGAGAAACAAAGAGCCTAGGCCTCCTGGCTGATCAGCCTTCTTGGACATACAAATTGAATAAAAGTCATGAAAGGGTGTAACTGAGAAAGGTGACAAACAACACAAAAGAATTATTTGTGGCAAATTATTGAATAATAGTAAAATATATTAAAGGGGCAGTGTTTTTTTTTCTTTGCTTGCACTAACAGAATTGTAGATTTCTATCATCCATCCATCCACCCAGCCATTCATCTTCTATACAGTGGTACCTCAGTTCTCGAACTCATTAGAACTCGAATTTCTTAAAAGTCGAACCAACCAGTTAAAAAAAAAAATTACCTAGGACTCGATCTGAATCTCAGAAGTCAAACCGTGAACGCCGACCTAAGATAACTTGTATGCGCGGGGAAATTAGTCACACATTACGTCTCTCAGCGGAAACAAAGGGTAACGCTTCAGTCTCAGCCTCACATTCGTTGTGTAGCATTGTGCATGTTTACACTAGCGGAATACATATATTTAGACAGTAAAAATACATTTAGACAAAGATAGACAGTAACAGTAATTATATAATAAAATACATTTAAAAATAAAGATTTCTTATTAATTATTTTAATATTAATAATAAACCATGAATAGCCTACATTTAATTATAAAAATATTGTCCCGCTGAGCGGACGGAATGGAGACAAAGGCACAGATGTCAGGGTATCGGGGAATATGGGGTTTAATTACAGGTAAGGCGCAGGCAAAACGCAGATGGACAATACAATGACCGGACTGGGGAAACAAACTGAAACGCGGACTAAATACAGAGGACTAATGACAACAACCAGAAACAGCTGATCACACGGGGATTCCACTCGGGGTTAACAAGGGGGCGTGGTACCCGGAAGGAGCGGACGATCGGGGCAGGACACATTGTTTTTTTTTTAACTACTACACATTGTTTGGATACATTTATTTTCTTACTTTACAAATTACTGTTTTGATAAATGTGCTTAGATGTTTTTAGTACAATATGTGATCTTCTTGTTTTATCCGGTTCATTTTGTGTTTAAATGCTAAAAAAACATATTTAGGTGTAATTTTTTGGGGCCGGTGTTCCGGGCAATTTGGTTTCCCTATCTTTCCCCTGTCTATCGGGAAATAATGTTTCCCCTAATATTAAAGCAAAGAGGTATGTGAAATGTCTGAAAATCACTCAAGTACATTATTACATGTGAATACTGTATTGTTATTAGTAGTGCTGTAGTTCTCGAGACCGATCTTGGTCTCGAGACTGGTCTTGAGACCAATTTTTTGTGGTCTCGGTCTT